AACACAGAACACTTGAGGATATGTGCAGCCTGTGTGTTTTGTTTGATTAATCTCTGACATTAAGAAGATTAGACCTTTGGTTTTGTTTTTTTTCCCAACCCGTGCGGCCGTAAATCAGGTTTGTTTGTTCAGTGACGTTGGTGGACAGCTTTATACCTTCCATCAATGTCATCAACGTGGACCAAACAGGATGGATTGGAGTGCATCAGTGTCAGCACATCGGTCATGAGCATCTACATGCAGTGCATTTATTTTTCTACTGTAAAAACCGAGCGCGCGTGCTTTCACCTCCGCGTCTGGTGGTTTGACGACGTCTTTTAACTTTTACTTTAGGGTTAAATCAACCTCTGGGGGGCGTAACTCAACTTTATGTGCATTGAATTAAGACACGTTTGACTTTTGCGTATGCAGAAATTTAACAGTTGCAAGATTGCCTCCAGTGATTGACGGGGCCAGTAGATGGCAGTAATGCAACTCAAACAAGGGATCAATGACAAATCGATGCTCTGAGAACTGTCTGTAGATCAAAGACAAGTCCACACCTATGTACTGTATATCTCAGCACTGGGACATGGGACTTATTGATGTAAACTATTTGTTTTCTTTTTAGTTAAAGAATAGTCTAATTTAATTCTTACCATTTCTTCTTTCTTATTCAAAATAACGCTGTTTTTTTAGGAGCTCCCTGATTTTATGCCTTCAGGCACAAGTGGCATGATGACATTCTATTTCAGCACCAGGCACTGTCCACCTACTTAAGACGTTGACGAAGACAGTTCATGCTAATGCCTTGTTATGCTTGTGATTCACTCTCAGCACGGATGAGAGTCTAATAACTACAGATGTTCTAACAGTTTTTACTTTATAATCATTCATTTGTCAACTCACAACATGCCCAGCCCTAAAAACAAGCATTTTTCTAGTGGGGATAGATTTTCAATAGACAACGTGACTAAAACACCTCCTTCTGCCTTGCATTATGGGTAAGGATGTTTTTCGTTCCAGGCTATTCTAAATTACATTTACCAAATTAGTTTAAAACTGATTGCAAATATGCCAATCCTAGTCTGGATTTTACAGCATGAACATCGTTTGTCTTAGTTTTCTTCCACGTGAATGTCACCAGGGCACGGAATGTAAATTTCTTTAATTACTGTTCAAAACATTTTTACCTTTGGCTTAGTATACAGACAAAACGGTGCTCATTAAAATGCCTAATGACTGTGGTAGTAAACACAGCAGGCATTTATTAACTGCAGCTGTTGTGACCTTTTCAGCATAAACAGTAGATTATTTTTTTATTTTAAAAACATCTAAATGAGGTTCATAAATGTAACAGTCATCACCCTGACCTTTAATTCCAATATAATACAAGGTAAATGAACTGTAGTTAAAGCAGCCCGTGAAGAGCTCATATTTTCTTAGATTAGATTATTCAAAAAATCATGACCATTTAGCCTGAAAATACAAATTTAGTTTTTAGTGAATGAGTCATTTGCTCTTGGGTCTAAGACAATGATCTAACGGCCGTGGTGCAGAGGTGACCTATTGTTCTGATTGCCTGTAAGAACAGAAGATGAGACAATTTGCTGTGACCAGTCAGAACCTGATTGCCAGACAGCACTCCACCTTAGGCTCTTCACATGGAGTGTACTTTTGGTTTTTTTTCCCCACTCAAGAAAACTGGGAACGCTTGTTTTTCCTGAAGTCTCAAATGTTAAGGAATGCTGTTTTTGTTTTATAGGAACAACAGAAACTTCCGGCCTCACCTCCACATCCCTGTGAACGTGTGCATGATGCTGACACAAGTAGGAAGATTGGGAGGAACTAATCCGTCCACAGTAGCCAGCATAGAGGGAAGGCCAAACAGTACCAGGTACTTCACATAGAAGAACTGGACCACAGCCAGAGCCAGACCGCCTGTCAGTGAAGGAATGACAATTTTCATAGAGTAAGGATTAGGATTAGGCACATGAATGTGTTTGTGATGGATGTTGGAAAGGGTTCAGTGTTCATCTGTAGAAGTTTTATTAAAGCTGAAGCTCAGTGTCAGGCAGCGAAAGCTAAAAATAAGTTCCATGTAAATACTCACCCAACGCCCAGGGAGGGAGTATTTCTAAGTAGGTCTCATTAGACTGAATGCAGTGCATGTACATTACATGGATCATGTACTCAGCCGTGCACCACCACAGTATGATCCGTCCTGATCTGAGCAGCAAATAATGAAGAGCAGACGTCTGTCTGCCACTCTCCTCAGCAGGTCTTTGCATCTGCAGGAGGAGAGAGAGTGAGCGGAGCGTTAAAGTCCCACCTTCACACAGCTCAAATAACAGGACAGGATATTAGGGCTGTCAAACAAAAGAAAAAAAATCAAAAATCAATGGTTGGCTGTGGGTTAATAGCAATTAATCATGATTAATCGTTTTAATTGTTGATTATTGTTTTCAACCATTAACTAACTTTGCATTTTCCTAAATATAAAAATAATGTATTTTTCATCACATACAGGGATTTCTCATCTCATGAAGTCTGTAGCTTCAATGCAGGGGCTGTGTTCTATGGGTTGAATGCCCCTCCCTTCCATCTCAGATCATTTGCAACATCTTTGTGAACAGAATTTCAGTTAGCTAATTTGGTCTTAACTGAACTTTCATCTGTCGTCCAGTCCCCAAAGACATTTCCATTGGTGATTTTTCAAGACATTTATTACGACCTTTTTTTTAAATTTTCCTAAGTCATTTAATTTTCATCTTAATTTATTTTTGTTACAGATTATATATATAATCCACCACTAATGTGCTGACTGTTGTTTAATTTAAACAGGTGACCTGCAGCTGCATTCAGCCTCCTGACAAAATAAAACCCAGCTTGTTATTTCTATTTTTTTTTTATGTCAAAGCTGCAGCGGTCATGTTTGGTGACTGTGTCTCACCTGCTCTTTGTAATCTTTGTATGTGATGATGGGTCCATTGTAGAAGAAAGGATGGTAGAAAGTGTATGAAAACAACCAACAGAGCTGCAAACCCCGGCGCCTGCTGCTGCTGCTGCTGCTGCTGCCGGGGCCTGCAGGGCTCCAGCAGAGCTCCAGACTGAAGCTGATGAAGCGCAGACCACAGACCGCCACGCTGAACAGCAGCAGATAGTACTCCCCCTCTGTGTCGTACCAGGATCTCTGTGAAAAACATGGTGGGAAGGCCAATTATATTTAGCACAGGTTGGTTGAGGCTTCTATTAATAGAGACACTTTGACACTAAAAATGGAATTTCCTCTATTTCTATGTACATAGAAAACATACACACTCCATACACAGTTTTAATGAGGCGTGTTCAGCAGCTGTGGGGTTATCACTGCTTTCAGTGGTGAGTGTGCTGTGTTTTTGAGAGTGTGTGTGTATGTGTGTGTGTATGCACGCAGGTGGAGAAGAGGCAGAATTTTGGAACCATCTGTCAGATCTGTTTCTTCTTCTAAAGTGAAATATCTGAGACTCGACTGGAGAACAGTTTCCAGACGGAGGCTGTCCTTGATGTGTCACGTTCTGTGCAGCTAAAAGGAACAATGCCATGTAATGAATCCATTTCTGTAACTGTGAGAAAATGCTAAACATCATATCCACCTTTTTTTTTTTTAATTAGTTTCAAAACTTTTTGGTTTCGAATTGTCCAGTGATCCAGCTCTTATGCTTAGCTTTTGACCAACAAAACGACCATGAATAATAATGTAATATCGATAAAAGCTAGAAAAGCTGTGCGTTGAATTTTAGATGAATTCCAAAAGGAAACATTTACATTTTCTTGGTGACTTGCCCCCTCTTGTGTCCAGCAAAAATAAGACACCCTAAATTTGAACCCCTTTGGAGGATTACATTAACGATATATATATTACCTGACTTTAAGGTGAGCAGAATTTACGTTTTTATATGAATTTCTTTTAAAAAATGGGTGCCTTATTTTTTCAATTTAATATTTTAATCTTGATCTTTGATTAAATTGAGAATATTTACCTTTATACAATGCTGACATTAGAAGCCTGAAACATTTGGCTATAAGTTATATAAGTTGTATCATTTCATTTAAAATCAACTTACCTGGACGTCCTGAAGGGGTTGGATGTAAAGTGTTGACAGTAGGAGCAGGATACACAGCCATGACAGCACAGGTTTTCTCAGCTGTGCCACAGAAAAGGAGAGAAGCATGTGTGTCAACAACACTCCGACACCTTTAACTCCAAGTACACTGCAGGCTGCGAGGAAGTCGTATACACTGAGTGTCGGAACTCTGAGCTGGTGAAGAAGAAACAGATTTAAATTAGTAAATTAGTAAATATAGGGCAATGTATGTGTAATGTCTGAAATTGTTTCCTACCTTAGTACAGAAGACGGTCAAAAGTCTGGATAATATGAGATGACCTGTGAAGGTCCACAGTAAAGACTTTTTACCCCATTCTGTCCAAAAACTCCACTCAAACTCTGAAGGGTCCTGATTAAAAAACATGTGACAATGTTTTTTTGTTAATATGAATGACATTTATATTTACTGTACCTTTTAGCTGTGTGTACTTAACAATAATTAAAATGTTTCTCATTCAAACGGCTTTTAATGTGAAAGGTCATCTTCTGACTTACCCTTTTATATCCTTTCACAAGACCAGGTTCCAGCTGGTATTCTCTGTTTAAGCGCACCTCATGTTCTAACGAACGCAACAACGGATGTCTTTACTTGAACATATTTTTGATTGAACTGACATGATGGTATTTTAAATGCATCTGTCTCACCTTTAGAGAACCTGTGCAGGTGGTAGAAGGAGTACAGATGTGACCCAAAGGACAGCAGCCAATAGATGAGGATCTCGGTCTGTGGCAGTTTGGCCAACTGGGTCTTTGATTTGGACGTCATCAGGTAGATTCACACTCATCTACTTCACTAAAGGGAACAAACACACACACACACAGGCTAACTATAGCTTCACAGGTGTGTGCACTGATATACTGTGGTTGGTGTGAATGAAACACCACCCTGTAAAAAAGTGTGTCATCATTTAAAGTTGTTTAATTTGAGAAATGTAGAAGTAGTGGTCGATCAAGGCATTATAATTCTATAATAAATAACCTTTATTGTAAGCAGAATTCTTAACATAAAACGAAATTCTATTTCCTACTGGAAGGAATTGGTTTAAAATATAATACAGAAATATACGGTACTGCATTCACAAAACTGAAGTCGGCTCTTACTTTTTTAACAAAGTTGACACTTTCTTGGACTTATAAAAACATAAAAGTTAGTATCAGACCTAATGCATTGTTAGACATCTATCATACGATTCGGTTTTACTTACACAAGGGAGTTTTGTCTCTCGTGCTCATCCCTGATATACATAGATATTCCTTTTATCCTCCAAACGTGCCCAGGGATCCATCACATTTTAGATTCTAAATTTGCTTCAGCGTAATACAATATAACTACCGTGTTATAAAATCATTTCACGTTTATACTGAGCTGCCCAAATAAATAAGACGTGAAGATTTCAGCTTTAATGTAAAGAAATATTGTCAACATTTTTTGTCAGTGTTTTCATATCGTCTGACCAGAATGTATGGCTAACGGATCCACATCGGCATCACTATGACACAGAAATATTTACCAGTCGTAAAACCTAAGAGAGCATATGTGGACTACATGTACAAACATTAACATGCTTAGAATTTTTCCTATTACCAAAACACTGGATGAATTGAGAAACGTCAACTGCTTAAGTTTAGCACACTCAGGTAACGTTAGCGATACAAGCTAATAATGTTAAGGAGTATCGTTGTTACCGGGCTGTTGTTCATAACGTTGTTCTACACTGGGGACTAAACTGTTTCATTAATTTAGAAAACAAAAAATATATTTGAAAAAAACCCCGAATTGTTTTCATTGAATGCCCGACTTTTTCAACACTTTTTCCCTGTCTGTGAGTGTTTGTGAAATAAAGCAGCGCCCCGTCTGTATTGGAGTAGAACTGTAGCTCATTTAGATTACTTCTACCAAGGTAGAACATTTTTTTTGTTTCGGATTAAATACTAAAAAATATTATTAATAATAATAACATATTATATTTTCAACGTTAATCCTTAGCTACCGTTTTTGTCAAAAATGACATTATGGTATATTAGATAAAAATGCCCTAGGAATTTTTGGAAAGAAAATGTTTTGGACAAAGGACAAAGTTTAAATTTTATAAATGGAATAAATTAATTGACTCAATATTAGACCATGTGACACTAGAAATATATTTTAAAAATAACTTTTACACAGAGAACATCTTTCCCCTAGCATTTTATTCACTCTTCTAGAGGGTGGTTACGTGGTAAACTGTTGCATGGTTTTTATTGCAGAGAACTCTTTTTATGCATCCCAAATAAGCCAGGATCACAGCCTTTTCATAGCTCGGCCAAAAGAACACAGATTCTTAACAACAAAAAGGGCACCATTAATAACATAATAGTAAATAATAATAATAATAATAATAACAAGGTGAAAGTAAGACAGCATGGCCATAGTAACACAGCACAAATCCGGCCTTCATACGTGATTCATTCTTCCCCACTAATAATAATCCACTTCATTCCACTTGTGAACTTGACACGTTAACTTTTTAACTCAACCCTCTGTCAGTTGTAACTCTGTCTCATTACCATTCAACCAAATACAGAGCAGGATAAGGACATGACCACATTGCTTTTACTCATTCAGTCGTTCATAATGAAAGATTTCAGATGTCAGTGTAAGAGTTTTCTCCTTTATTTTTTCTGCATGCAGTTAGGCTTGCGTGTGTGTGTGCAGAGGGTGTTATGGCAGAACGGACATTTTATTTCCTTCACAGCTCTTCTGTCTCAGCGTCGAAGACCACGGCGTCATTCTCCATGTGAATGCTGGTGGGCTCACCGCTGCCAATCCAGCCAATTGGAGTGCGGTTGAAGGAAGGCCGGCAGCCCACTTCATGTTGGTAAACCGCGTCCTCAGGCTCTTGTTTGGATGCTTCCGGCAGCTGGAATTTCATTAACTGGTTGGCCTTTTCGAAACCACCGTAGGGCAGGGCGTACCTATCATAATGAAAGGTAGGAGAATTTTTTAAGATTCTCTTTGACACAAAGGTACAAGGTGCTTTTAAAAAAAATTGAAATGAAAAATTTCCAAAATACACTCTTATTTGTAGCAGTGGGAGGTAATACCTGTTGAAGCATCTGTACTTGGGCATATCCTTCCTTTCAAGGGGACCAGGCATGTAACCTTTCAGAGTGGCTAACAGGGCCTCATCACCCTTCATGGCCTTCTCCCATGGTGAAATGTATGTCTTCCCAACACCCAGCTTCTTAGATGCATCACCTTTTCCTCCTAATGTGGAGAAACCAAATAAAGAGCAAAAAGACAATGATCAGGGATGCAGCGATAAACACTAAATAAAAACTGACAATTGTTTTTTGAAGTTTTTTGAAGCTACTGGAACCTGTTAATTCCTGACAAGGACAAAATGAATGTAGGAGGATCAGATTACTGTGGTCCACATGTATATATACAGAAAAATATGTCATTTTGACAACAATTTGCACATGATCTGTTCTAATTCAGTTTTCAGTATATTTTCAAATAATTACTGACAAAACAAACAAAGGAAGTGCACCAACCTGTTTGTGAAGACAACTCACTACCGCTTCCATCTATCCCACCTTTTCCCTGGTCCCCTCCACTCAATCCTCCTGCACCTCCTGCTCCTCCTGCTCCTCCTGCACCTCCTGCACCTTTGGTTCCAGGCTTTGGTGGAGGTACTGGAACTCCTCCTTCTCCAAACTGCAGCCCTGAGTAATGCAGATGTCCTGCCTGTTTGCTCACAAAGGCCCCACCAAGGTTTATCATTTGACCTCCCATCTGACCACCCATGGAGGGAACAAACTTCTGGAAACTGTCCTGGGAGACATGATATCAAGATAATCAACATTTGCTCATCATATTTTACAAAAACAAAAGTAGCTTGAGGAAAGCAGTGTGTCTTCGCCTATTTTAAGTCAAATTATGCTGTGCATTACTGCTAAGTGGAAGCATTTGGTTTTTTTTTTTTGCATATCATTGTTAAAGAACAACAGCTTCATCTAAGTAATTTTAATGTGCTTTAAGTCCAATACAGTGATGAGAAGTTTCTCAAAGTCAAGGATCCCGCCTCGTTAAAGTTGATCCTTCTAAGTTGGCTTCCCCGGGGATGAAACAGGAATCTTTTTCTAGCTTTCTAGGATAGCGTTAATGCGAGTATGCATCGCAGCATAGCTGCTCTGCCTTCTGAACTTGCGTGTGAAAAAGTTGTGGGCACAAAGTCAACATGCATTCTGTGGCAATGACTGGGTGTTATGTAGAATTTGCAGCATCTGTTCAGTGGAACAGTCCTTCAGTAGAATTCAGTATGCCTATGATCCACTGATAAACATTTGGCAAGACTATTCTACACCTAACAAAGAGGAGATTTCAAAATTTGATAGTTTTGTAAGAATGTTGGAGTCTTCACTGGAGACAGAGTCAAAGCACAATAACTTGTAAGAACAGGTACAAAATAGAGCCCTGGAACTCTTTTCTCACCATGGAGTCACTGGTGAAGACATCGGGGTTGTTCTCATAGATGAACCTCTCCACTCTTATTTTCCTCTGCTTGAACATCTTGGAGCCTTTGTTCTTCATCAGTGAGAGCTCCTCAAGCATGATGTCTCTGGGAGTCTTGATCTTTTTCCCCAGGTCGAACTCTGATGCTTCTGGCTCCAACTGAAACTCTGTGTGAGGGACATTCAAATTTATTGTCAGTAAAAAAACAAAAACTTCCTCCAAAAAGATAAAAAATAAAAATGTGTCTGTTAATTTATGGTGTTTCGTGCTATGCTTACCATCTTGAGAGATATTTGACAAGTCAGTTATGATCTTGGTGAGCTTTTTTCTCTTGTTCACAGAGACAGGCTTTTCCACAGGCATGGCTGCAAGATCAGGGAAGAATATGCAGTCATTAGCATACTCTAATGCTGATTTATCTGTTGCAAAAGAAATTATGCACTCTTAAGACAACTTCTTCATAAGTTTAGTCTGTCAACATAGTTTCATGCTTTACATGATGCCTCAGAAGTCAGTTTACTTTGGTGATTGTTTTTGGTGTAGTTTTCAGCTGTCTTTTCAGCAAGAATAGATCATTAGTCCAGTGATTACCAAAGTGGGGGCCACTCTCCTATTTTGGGGCCTGGCAAATGAATGAAATATTCTCTTTCTCACAGTAACAAAATTCCACGGGGGAGGAACTGGAGAAAAAAATGTATTCGCTCAATAATTATAAAAAAAGCTATCAATAAATCTATAAATCTAAATTAATTTCTTTGCTGGCCGCCCCTCCGCCCCTCCGCCTTCTCCAGTAAACTATTCTGTCTTACTGCGCAGGTGCGAGCGAGACTTAAGAATAGTACTAGTAGCAATTGACTTCTTGAAGCGTTGAAAGAGGATTTCTTCCAGCGGAGTTAAGACGTAAAGAAGCAACGAAAACCTAAACTTAACAAACGTTTAAAAAAGCCCAAAACAACACCTTTAACAACAACGTTTAATACGTACAATTTTGAAAAAGTGCCCTTTTTACGACGATGCCTAACATCAGAAATAAACAACAACGTAGCAGGTTAGCTACCTGTTGCTACCTGTTGCTACCTGTTGTCGCCGTCGGCCCAAGATGGACTCCTGACTAAAGACTGATAACAATCTCCATCTCTAAGACGTGAGTACTGAAACGGTCAAAAATAACAAGCTTTTTCTCGCATGTGGTGTATGTGATTTGGAATTCTTAGGTTACTGTTTGAGTTAAGTTTAACACCGAGTAGCACTTTCATCATACTGTGTAATACAGTATAGAATATGTTTGTACTTTGGCTTGTCTTGTCCAACCACATCATCTGAAAGAAGTCAGAATAACAACTTGTTTTCACCTATGGTTTGATTCCCTGGTTAGATAACTATATAATGGTGTTGTTTCTCTAATATCTAGCTCAAGAACAAATTGCTGGTGTTTTATAAAATTATTATTTTTAAAAAGGTAGAGAATAAGAGATGTTAGAGGCCCTGATGACTGGATTTGCTTTTGGTTCCTTAAAGGCTAAACACCCTCCTGATTCTCAGGATTAATCACCTGTACCACCACCTACAGTTATCCACAACAACCATTGAAATTGAATCCCTTAGACTTGGACGTACCAGACAAACACACATCGTGGGGTCTGCTCATTTTTCAAGTTCAAGGGTGATGTCAAGGGAACTCAGATTCCCCACATTCCCCAGTGGAGCAGATGTCTGCCTCGTTTGCCCCCTATAGCTTAATGCAGTTTCGTTCAGGGTCAGACGATCCGTGTACACTGTCTGAGTAAACATAAACACCAACAGTGTATGTGTCTGGTAGAGTGTGTTTGTAAAAAACCATGTTGTTTCCTTTTGGCCATATTCTGTCTTCTGTGGTAGTTAATGGATGGAAATACCTAAATCTAAAGGTTAGTGACAGTATAATAAAAAAATATTAAAGTGAAACTTTGGCAAAATGGCTAAAAATAGTCAGCAACTTGCAAGTATTTTTAAAACTGAATAAAAAGCCAACGGTAGCTAGAGTTATCTGCTACGGCTTAAAATTTGTTCCGAATGTGTTTGTTTGTTTTGAGTTTTCCAGAGGATTTAAAGTTTGCTTGAAACATATTTTTGAATGTGTAAATACATACTGCAATCTGAAAAAAGTGACGATATTTTACCCAAATAAAACCTTGTGCTTTTGGTAGATGGTCAATAATTAGTTCTTCCTGGTACTGTAAGATTACTGCAACAAAACAGTAGAAATCATAAAAGGGGCATTTCATGTTGTTCCCAAACCTTCATCCTGTATGTGAACATTAGTGAGGGGAGGGTCTGAGTGATTCTTTCCTCTGTGTCATCTGTCAGGCTATGAATCACATTAGGAAACACATTAACACGGGCTATCTTATTTTCTGCAACCTCCTTAGTCTGTAGTAACATTTTTCTATAATTCCGAAGAGTAGTGTTGCTCTTTACAGACATTTGCACTTTTCACCATTGAACCGTTTCTCTTCTCAACTCTTTAGTTTCTTTAATTCACGGTCCAGTGGCAAAACATCACATTGCATCTACTGGGCTGTAATTCAACCCACTGCAGCTATTTATAAAAGACATTTCCAGCCAAGACATTTTAGCAACATGTAACGGCGTCATTGGACTATCAGATAGACAGAACTCAACCTTTATGGACATAAAACACACACTTCCAGGAAACACTTCCTCATTTAATGATTTCAGCCCCAAAAAGTTATGAAGTTTAACATCTGTCCAAAACGGTCCTTGGTATTTCCTTGAATAATTAGCTTTACTCGCCTCAGTCCTCCCTCACCCTCCCAGCCCCTGTCAAGATTTGGTAGCACCATATAAAATCTCTGCAACGCCCATTGAGGGATGGTCAGCACATTCACCTGTTCCTTTGGTCGTTTAAAGACGTATGAAAATCTAAAAGCGGCAAAGTGACAAGACACAGAGAATTGTTTGAAAAAGTATTTAACGTATTTCCATTAAAAGCAAAGTACTTGAGGTGTTTGAGGTTATGAGGTCTTGTGTTTTCTGCAAAAATCAAGGCAACATGTTGCACGTCTCTAGTTGTCTGTCTATTTCTGTAGTCACTCGTCCTGTATTAATGTCTTGGTCGATTAGTTTCAACGAAACACACTGACGCGATGCATAGCCACTCACCGGTACTTGGTTGTAATCCCTGAGAGGAGAATGAGCTATAAATATCAAACAGACAGGAGGAGACCCTGGGCGCAAATCTGGTGATCTCTAGCACAAGTTTACAATTCCCACAGTGCCTCTGACCCCACACGTATGGCCGGACCCAGGTCCAGAGAAGAGCAAAACCCACCCTGCACTCAGATGGCAGATCTTCCAGGGGCTCTGGGTGGTGGGGGGGCGGCGGAGGGGGGTGATGG